CAAACCAGACCTGGATTTTTCCTGTCCTGCAGCTCTTTCTTTGCTCTGGCTCAGAGGGGTTCTCTGATGTAGCACACCCTGCACGCCTGACCTGGCCTTTCTGTCCCCACTGTGTAATGCGGGTGACAGAGCCCACTGCCACCTCCCACCATACATTAAATAAATGCATTTCCACTGCCAGGAGCCATCTGTAAGGCTAGGGCTGCCCTCTTCCTGGTGGGGATTTTAGCTTGGATGGACGAGTTTCTATTAATGATGCCAACCCTGTCTGGTTCCTTTCTAGCGTGAGCTGCAAGCCCAGGGTTAAATGTGTGATTGTCATAGTCTGCACCAACCTGAACAGCCTCCCTCTGGAAATGAGGGGTAGGAGATGGCAGGCTGGTTCTGAGGGAAACAGATGAGCTCACCTTCTGCCTCTCAGCTCCTGAACTGATCCTTCACAGGCTGCAGTGGCTTTGCAGACCCGTGCAGGTTTCCTGCTCCTGGCCACCCACAGCACATGAGGAGTGACTCTGCTCCATTCCATGGCAGAAGGGACAATTTGGCCATCAGAGGGTTGGTTGCTGCATGGTGTGTCTCCACTGGTGGAAGTGCTTGTTTCTCATAGGGCACTGTTGACCTTATACTGGCTGAATTGTCTGTAGGTGTTGGGCAACAAGGCTGGAGCTGTTGGCAATCGTTGTTCAGAACTGTTTAACTCAGAATGAGCTGATAAAGTGGGAGCTTGGGGTCTGGTTCTGTGCAGAGGGCCAGGCATGGCTCTGCCTTCAGTCAAAGTGGGACTGAACCTGAGGGTTTTCACGGGAGTCCCTGGTCAGTGGCTCTGCCTTCACCGCCGAGTGCCTCGGGTAGGTCTTGCACTGGCTGTGGTGTTGTGCAATGTCAGCTGGGTCACTTCCACATTCCCTGCCTATATTAAGGTCCCTGTTTTTCCTCATCCATTCTGGCATCCTGTATTTGAGCTCATGATCCTTTAACTTTGAGGGAAATCCACCTGCTTTTCTTATAGCAAATGAAAATCTGGACCAAGAAGTTGAGGAGTGCAGAAGCTTTGGCTTCCTTTGCAGCCGATAGCTGGAATCTGACTGGCTGCTTTCCATGGGCTTTCCCAAAACCTGCCAAGAGGGGCTGAGACAGTATTACTTGTGATCCAGCCATGTTCTCCCTTGCCCCAGCAATACTCTGCTTTAATCTTCTCCAGCCTTGCATCAGCTGTTTATTTTTGGAAAGCCTGTTGCATTATCTGGTGGTTGAGGCAAGCAGGGAGTTGGGTTCCTGCTCCATTGGGAGTCCCACCATGCTGGACCCTTCCCATTGGCAGGGTGGAAACAGCAGTGGCTTCCTCACCCTTCAGGAAAACATAAGCAGCTCTCTGACTCTGAGGCCTTGTCCAAAGTGTTTGATTGTTTGTGTTCCCCTCTGTAAGCAGGAAATACCAAGTGAGGGTTGTGTTCACTGCAGGAATCCAGCAGTTGTATGGATGTGGATAGCTGGGATGTGTGAATGACCTGCTGTGGTGGCCTCTGGGCAATGGACTTGAGGGAATCTGCCTTCAGGCCTCTCTTTGTCTCTAAGGCATCGAGCAAAGTCCACAAACATCTGGGGCCAGTGCTCAGCTGCTTAAACTTCCTGGTGACCTTGGGCCAAGCCACTCTCTCCTCTGGTGTCTTGTATCCAGTATCAAGCTTTTTGTTTTTGATGTTGGGTGTGCAAATACACAGGTGCAATGGCCTCTGCTCTGCACAGGCACCAGTCCCTGAGGTCTCCTGATCCTTCCGTAATCCACCTTAGTGAGACCAGAAACCAGCCCTGAAGGGTCATCATTTGAGCTGAAAACACCGAGTTGTTCTCTAGGCTTGGCCTTGCTCTAGCCCCCTGCCTGGGATGATTTTGTGAGTAGAGTTACTCCAGTTGGGAAGAAAGAAATGGAAAAGCAAAAGGGCAAATATAGTCTTGTTTAAAGGAACTTTGGGGTTTGACCGTGACCTAAAGCATGTGCTTTATTCAGCAGTTTTTACAAGCAGGAAGCTTTATTTAAAGGCTACAGCACTTGCTGAATCTTGGAGCAGGAGAGAACTGAGCACAAGAAGTAGTTTCAGTGAAGCAGATTTTGCTATTTTCAGAGCTTTTCTGATGTCCTCACCATTCGGTTTTAATTGCCTTAAGGAGGTGCTTCAGGAGCATCATTAGATGCTGCTCTGGTGCAGCAAAGGGGGTGAGATCTGGGTAATCTTTGAGAATGTCAGGTTTGTGATAGAGACCATTAAGTTAAAAACAACACCCCTCTTTGATGTGAAGGGGTTTGGGGGGATTTTGGGGGAGAAACAAGAAAGCAATGGTGGTCAAATTGGCTTCAGACCTTTACTGAGGACCTGTATTTACAGTGGTCTCCTGCCTGCACTGGAATCTGTGCTTCTGTTTAATCAGAAACAGCCCAGAGTCACTCTGTACACAGAGTTCTGGGCTTTGGCCTCTTCTTCTCTCAGCTCTCTGTTTCCATACCTTAGGAGAACTCTGGCCTTCCTGGCAGAGCTGGAGAGGAAGAGGAGGGGAGAGACTGATGTACTTGACTGCAGTCTGCACATATAAATAGTTCTCCTCTTGGATCCTTCCAGTCTGATCTTCTGGGTGATTTGACCTTTCTTTGATAAAAGCTTTCTTTATTTGCAGGAATAAAAGGTCAAAGGGTAGGAGAGGACACAGCAGATTTTTTTTTAAATATTTTTATATCTTGGCAGTTGGTTTCTGCAGCACCCAGCACTCACTGCTGGGCCAGCTCCCCCCTGGGCTCCAGCTTTCCTCCTTCTCTGAGCTCCTTTAGTAAACTTGGCATTTAACTCTAAAGCATTGACCTGAAGATTTCTGAGGAAGTTTATGGAAGTGTTTTATCGTGGGGACACGCATGTCTTCCCACAGGGACGGATGTCCTGGCTCCGTCTGCAGCCCTGCTGCCGCCTGGGCAGGTCACTTTGGGCACAGGGCTCATTTTATGCCCACTGCACCACTGACCCTGGTTTTCCTTGGTTCATAACTTCACCTGAAAGAAAAGCTGGTGTTAAATGCTGCTGGTTTTTCCTGTGTTCACCCTGAAGTAGTTTGAGCTCAGCATCCAAACACAGCTTGGTTTAATGTGTAAAACCATGGGACTCTGGCACTGCCCAGGTTATGGACGAGCAAAGGCAGCGCAGGTGCAGTGTTAGAAGTGCTCCAGATGGCACACGAGGCTTTCTGGCTTGAGTTCTAACCATTAATTGCCACTTTAAATCCGGCAATAAATTATTTGGGCAACCACAGTGCAGGATCCCACTGCCAGGAACAAAACGGAGCTGAGCACTACTCAGTCCCCTTTGTGCTTCAGGCCAGCACAGCTGGATGGGGCAGGGCACTCCTGCACTCACTCTGGTGTCTCACTGACCTTCTGGCCGTGGTTTAAGCCATCCATCGTCCTGCACACCCTGTTGTTAGTGTTGGAGGTGCACTGCATGCATGTGTTGGCTTGTGTTTGTTCCCTGAGCGCGGGATGGTGTGCGGGATGCCTCGGGATAAGCCTCTGATCCTTTGCAAATTGGATTTTGTGGCTCACTTGCCTGTCCTCTTGGATGAAGGTTCCCCTTAGCTGCCTCTCCTTTAGCAGAGCTGATGTCCATCTCAGGACTGCAAAGCCTTTTATAATGCTCTGCGGATCAGGAGTCACTCAGAGGGAACAGGGACAGACTTTCCATTTCCCATGGAACACGCTCTAGAGTGAGTCTGTTGCCTCATTCCCTTCTGAATTTCCACTTGGTCTGCACAAGATTCCCACTGGTTTGGTGCCTTTCCTGCTGGTTTTGCTCACTGTGGCACTGAGGTGTTCCTGGCTAGCAGCCCCCCAGTGATGATGGGTATTGCAGGAAGCCTCTGAGCCACATGGGTCGTAGTGATTGTGTGCTGGGGAGACAATGGACTGCTCAGGAAAGGTCTGCTTCCAATAGGTTTGAAACCAGTTCAATTGGAGATTGGAGGCTATTAAGTTTTACCCCTAAAGAAGACAGTGCAGGAAAAAGTACTATGTTGGCACAAGGGAGATTGCCAGGGCTTGTGATAAACGCTGTGTAATTCCTGGAGGGATGAAGTGTAAAGCACACCGGCACATGGGTGGTGGGTTGTGCTGGTGAGGGCCCTCATCAGGAAGGGTGAGCAGTTCCAGTTTACCTGTAAGAGCATACTGGTTTGAGTTCCATTGCCTTTTCTGGGAGAGGGTGGTGGCACTGGTGAGGGGCAGCAGACACCACACTCCTTTCACAGCAAGGTCAGGAGCAGCACCAGCCCCTCACTCACACTGTTCTGCACTGATGTGAACAGGACACCTTCCAGGGGTGGGGGGAAGAGTAATTCTCGGCAGGGTTAATTCTTAAATCCGTGGTGCTTGACTTTTGAACAAGGGAGGGAAGTGAATGCTCTCAGAAGTGCTGGGAGACCACCTACTCTTTTGTACAGACTGCCAGCAGCTGACAGATGGAAGTGATTTTGGGACAGTGAGAAGTTAGTGTGGAATCACACTGCTGACCAAGAGCAGGCTCTGTATCCCACAGTCTTTGACTTACAGCCCCCGCTTGTGACTCTTGCCATGGAGGGAAGAGAGTTTCCCAGAGCCACTGGAATTCTTCAGCAGGGTGTGAATTAGCAGTGCATCGATGGTTTGCGGTCTCTTGTGGTTCACTCTAATAGACACATGTTCCTCTGAAGATGCTTTTTGGCAAGCACAAGTATGGCTGAAGGATGTGTGGGAGTGGGAGCTCTGACTGGAAAGCAGGAGGGTCTGGTAAAGCAGAGGAGTGAGTCCCTGTGCCGGTGTGTGCTGCGGCACTGACCCCTCAGCTCGACTCTGTGCTCCACGTGACTGCTCCTGACCACAGCTGCCCAGATACCCACCGTAGTGTGAGAGCTCTGCTGACCCTGTCCTTGCCCTGTCCCTGTTTGGTGTTTGCCTAAGTGTTCCCTGTCCATTTTCTGTATTGCAGCATCTGGAGAGGGCCCAACGTGAACTGTGTTGACAGCACTGGATACACCCCGCTGCACCACGCTGCTCTCAACGGCCACAAGTGAGTCCTGCTCCGATCTTTGCTCACAGGGGATGGATGTTTTGTGCTTTCCAGGCCACGGTTCTGTGTCGTTCATTCACTTGTCACTTCCATGGCGCTGGTGAGTGCTGGTGCTGCAGCACTACTCCATCTTCAGGGGAAATGGAGAATGTCACTGCTTTGGCTGCTGCACAGTGTGATCTTACAGCTTGAAATATTTGGCAAAGCATTGAGGTTTTCAACCAACCACCCTTTTATTTCAAAGCAATTTGGATAAGCTGTAACACCACGTGAAAGGGACTCCCTGTGACAGTCCCTGCAGTCTGTCTGGTGTCCAGGGTGGACTGGGCCTGCACCACTTAGAGCTGCCTTGTGTGCACATCACATTTGGAAGTAACTCCAGTGTTTACCGTGGTGGATCTCGTGTTATTCATTGCTGCTGAAGGTATTGAGAAATGGAATAGATTTAAAATCTTTATTCACCTTCACTGTGCTGATGCAATTCACTTTGCAGCAGAGGCTTGTGGCTGACTTCAGCCCCTGTTCAGCTCCATTAGCATGGAGGCAACATGGATCTTTTCTGAGCTCATCTCATCAATATTTATTTCTCTTTTTTTTTATTTCCTTGGGTGGCATTTAATAGGAACACTTTAAAATCATATTTCAGGAGGATCTCAAATATTCTGTTCAGACTCACTTTTCATGCAATACAGAATGTAAGCTGTGAAACAAGAACTGAGTGTCTTAGACTCAAGTTGCCTTCTCCTGCAGGGACGTTGTGGAAGTTCTGCTGAGGAACGACGCCCTCACCAATGTGGCAGACTGCAAGGGCTGCTACCCCCTGCACCTGGCAGCCTGGAAGGGAGACGCCGACATAGTGAAGCTCCTCATCCACCAAGGCCCTTCGCACACCAAAGTGAATGAGCAGGTCTGCCTGGTTTTCTCTGATGTACCATTGAATCACTGCCCTTGCATGGAGAGAGACTCCTTCAGCTGACTCCTGACCCTTCCCAAACCAGCAGCAATGGTTATAAGGTCCTGTTTGCTGGTGGGATAAGAGGGGCACTGCCTAAAGCAATACCTTCAGTTCTGAGTTAGTGGTAGGATGAGAAAGGTATTTAAGTTTTATAGACAGACACATAAATATGAGAACTTCTCAACACCTAGGAAGTGTTCTCCTGCTTCTGGGCTTCTAAAACTAACCCACAGTTTTCTTTTCAGTTGCTGGATAGCTGAGCAGGTTTCTAGTTCTGCAGAAGATCCATTGGCTCCCTCCTTTGGGAACTAATCAAGGCAACTTTGTTTAGTCTCTGTTTGGCCGTGCTCTCTTAGCTGCTCTCCTGGCTTGTCTCTGGCACTTGCTCCAGTTCACTAATTTGTAAGTTCTAAGATAATTTTAACCCTACTTGCCCCCAGATATATCCTTAGCTTAATCTTAAAGAATTATATTCTCAATCGGGCAAGAAAAAAAGCCTCTTGAATTTCTTCCATTTGTCAAGCTGATAGTTTTGGTCTGGGGTGCAGAGGGAATGAGGGGTATGAGATAGCTCTGTCCACTCCAGAGGACTGGCTCCCCTGTAACTGTCCTGTGCACATCAGAGGGACCTTACAGTTCCAGAGAACCTCTGGAATGCTACTACTGGAAGACCCAAATACTTCTCTTGTTTCATGGTTTTGTTTAAGGGAACTCGTTTTCTGAGGCCAGCTGAGCAGGGTCACTGACCTTGTCGCTGGGTGAGCCTGGCAAACAGTCACAGGCCTAAATCAGGTGCTTGAAGATGCAATGGGCCCTGGTTGTCCTGTCCCTAAGGCAGGAACATCTGATATCCCTGTGAATCAGCTCCCAACCCACTCAGGTGTGCATCAGGAGGAGTAAACCAAAATAGGTTTGCCTGCCTTAGTAGCACAAGGCTAAACTGACCATTCATTCCGAAGGTAATTCCCAGGTAGGTCAGGCACCCGTGGCTTGAGTTCAGCAAATTGTCACAGTCAGGGTGAGCAGCTGGGAACTGGGAGTCCCTGCTGCTTGTTTGCTCTATGTGTGCACTTTTTCAGAAGCTGAGGAGCAAACTCCCTTCATAGTCAGGTTTAAGAGTCCCAGTCCTGCTTCCAGCTGCACTTTATGGGGACCCAAGTGCCACACTGCAGTTTCCTAGGACAGGTAGCTCGATGCACCAGGCTGCCCCAGGCCTAAATGCTGCTAAAGCAGCAGGAATGAAAAATCTAATTTCCTACACTCCTCAGTCAGGCAGGAATAATGAGGAATGTGTGTTTTAATGTCTCTGGTGGTAGTTTTCCAGTTTGAGGCTGTGGTTAATCACGTCTCCAGGCACAGCTGCAGGCACTCAGTCTGGTTACAGAGGTTTGAGTTCAGGTAGCCTTTCACAATCAATCTGATAAGAGTTGCCTGAGGGCCCTGAGTGTAAATGTTCTGCTCTGAGTAGGGCAGATAGAGAGGAGACCTTTGCAAAAGACCCAAAGCTTAGTGTGATCCTTCCAGGTAATGTTTCATTAATGTCTGTTTAGTAAGAACCTTGTTAAATGAGAGAAGTCAGCTGAGGAGCCTGTGCTGCCTGTACTTGGAGCCTTGTCCATGCACTGCACAGGGGTCCAGGTTACAGCAATCCCAGCTGGAATGGCTTTTGCTGGTCGTGGCTCTGCCTGGAACAAGATGCTGTGTTCTGGTGTTCCACCCCTTGGAGTCACCCATTGCTTTATTGCTGTATCTCACCCATTTCATTATCACATTTTTTTCTTTTTCCTCTTCCTTTTTGTAGAATGCTCTTGAGATCAAAGAACTCAAAAAGTACGGCCCCTTTGACCCATATATCAATGCCAAGGTGTGTACTTTGCTGTCAGCATTTCACTGCATCATCACTCCAAGCTGCACTCCGTGATTCCAGGTGCAATAATACCTGTTCACTTTGCAGCTACTTGGGGGAGAAGGAAAACGGGACCATTTATTTACTGTGGGTTTCTCTCTTCAAAGCAGTTATAGAAACATAATTAAAGGGAAGCTTTTCCTTACTTTCCTGGGGGCTCCTTCCTTGTTTAGCCTTGTAGGACTCGTGGTGATGGTCAGTTTGCTTGATTGGGCTGGATGACTTCCCAAAGGTAATGCTACTTCAATTAAATGTTTTAGGTTTTGTTTCCTGTGCTGATGTTGCTGATAAATGCAAAGAGAAGGAATTTTTTTCCCTGCTTAACCATGGATGCATTTTCTCTGTGGGCTGTTTGGAGTGAATTTTTATGCCTTTTCTCCTACCAAATGCATAATGCTGTGTGTGTTATTTGAATGGACAGTTAATTCCTGTGGTGGTGGTGGGGAGAAGGGAAGGCAGTGACATTCCTGCCTCCCTTCCCAAGTCCTCCATGTCCTGCTTATTGCATCAGTCTCTCTATTTTGATGTTCAGTCTGTGGTGTTGTCTGACCCTTCAGCCCTGGTTTCCTGTTCCTGTTTTCTGGCCTGTTTTGCCCCTCTCTTGTTTTTAGTTGTTGAGTTACAAAAGGCACAACATTGGCTTGTGTGATGTGCTGAGCCTGAGCTGTTGAGGAAACAGATCGAGTTCCTGGTGGTGTTTTCTCAGACACCCTTTTTAAGTTTTATTTCTAGTGAAGCTGCAAGCCAGGGATGGCAACACTCTGCTGCTCTGTCCTGAGACACCTCTGCCGTGAGCCACTGTACCACAGCTGCTTCCAGTCACTTATTTTGGATCAAGCCATCCATGGCAGATTTCTGTCTCTCAAAGTTGGTTTTTTTTTTCCTTCTGTTTGATTGCAGGACCTTAGAAACACACAGCCAGAGTTCCTGCACTTGCTGGGAGTTAGGTGTGGTTTTGCAGAGTCCTTTTTCAGGCAGTACCCAATGCCCACCCTCTGAACCCAAACGTGTTCCCATAAAGCTCATCTGAATTGGGGAACATCATAGTTAAGCAGTTCAGTTGCCTGAAAGAAGCTTCCAGAAACATTGTCAATATAACCAAGTAAAATCTTACACTCTCCAGCACTGGGATGTTGAATGAAGAAGGAACGTGAAAGGGGAATATCCAGTGAGATCCCTTTCCTGTGGATTTTTGTTTACAAAGTATTCTAGTTTGGATTTTATACTGTGGAGAAGTGCATTATTTAAAGCCTTGGTTCAGTGTTCATAATGGCTGAGGTGCTCTCTAGAGCAAGGCAAGATTTTGGCAACCTTTCCTTTGGTTTTAAGGAGAGAGATGATTTATACACAGTCGTTGGGTTCATCACAAGTTCTGACCAGCTTTGCACCAGTTCCTGCCCAGGTGAGGAGCGTGTGGAGTCATACCTGTCACACAGACCTTGGGGTTTTCTCAGTGCACTGGAGCAGCCAAACAACAGGTTGTCATTAGGGCAGGACTCAGCTGGACATGCAGCCACCAACAGAAATCCTACAAAGCAGTCTTACAAGTAGGTTGGGTGGGACCAAAGGGTTGTGCAGCCACTTTTCCCAGCCCTGGGCAGGATCAGGTCTCCCTAAACCATTCCTGATCAGTGTTTGCTCAGCAGCTTCTCAGAAAACTCAGAGAGGGGCAGCTCTGTGGACTCTGGCAGCTTATTTGACCCTTCAGATCTTTGCAGGTCAGAAAACTTTCCCTTATTTGACCAAGTCTCCCTTTGCTCAGTCAGAACTTCTCCCAGTGTGTTGGAAGCAGGGGATGCAGGATGGAGTGTGCAGGGCAGGGGTGCAGGATGGGGGTTGCAGGACAGATGCATGGCCAGATGCACTTTAAGGGGCTCTGGATTCTCCATTTTAGCACGTGAGGAGGAGCAGCAGGGCTGTGTGTGGTGAGTGGTATCTCCTTACCAGGGCTTGGAAACTGTGGTGGAGCCCATATGGAAGCAAAGCCATTCCTGCTTGTGTCCCATTTGTGATCTGCAGAAGGGCATCATGTGTGCCCAGCTCCTCTCCCCTGGCTGTGAGCTGGGGGATGTGAGGATTCCTGCAGGAATGCAGCCCCTGGGCCCTCCTGAGTGCTCTCTTTCTAAGTAGTTCTGAAATTTGAAGCCATGTGCCTTCTGGCTGCTGGAATGGAATTTTCCTTTTCCATCTCCGATAAATCTGTACGTCTGAGTGCTCCTGCTCACTGCTCAGGCTCCACTCTGGTTTGTGCCTGGAGAGTGATGTGAGAAGGGAGCAAACTCCCTTGCCTAGAAGGGCTCTATTTTTGGCTGCTCAAAGCTCTCCCAAAATGGAGTCAATAAAGACTTGGGCAATAGCAGGAGTTTCCAGTGCACAGTCTGGGACAGGGAGAGACCTGCTGTAATGATCTCCACTGCAGGAGGAGAGTCTGGGGATTGCACCTGGAGCGTCAGAGCCCTGACCTGCTTAGGGAAAATTGGACTAAATTGCAGTGAAGATGAGGGAAGTCTCCAACAATTATGTTATTAAAGGGTGTGTTCCCATTTATGAGCCCTCAGGCAGGTGTTTGGAGCTACTGCATGCTTTAAAGCCCCCCTGATGGTTATGGTCCTTGTGCTGAGGAGGGAGGAGAGGGGGGCAGTCCTAGCCAAGGCAATCCCCAGTAGCCAAGACAGGCCTGGCATGAGCAGCACGTGCTTCCCCCGGCTCTGGGGCAGGAACCCCATACTCAGAGGGGCTGAGGTCATCCACTCTTTCTGCTAAGCCTGGCAGCGAGACCCCCTCATGCCACAGGGCAGGCTGAGGGCCTGGGCCTGGCTGTCATGGGCTCCCTGATCCCTGCTCTTCCGACCCTGTGAAATGAGAATCATGGGATTTGCCAACCCTGTAAGTGCCCAAGAGCAGCAGCGTGAGCTGACGGACAAGTGTGAGCCCTGATGTTCTCTACTCTGTCCCCTCTCACTCCACTTGTATATTTTATGTGCAGACTTCTGTATCCTGCAGTGACCTCTGTCCACGTGTATGTGCCTCCCTCCAGGATAGAGCCTGTTTGACTTGGACCTTCTGTGCCTGCAGCAGTGCTTTGCCCCCTTTGCCCCTTCCCCCTGCATGTGGCTGGTGCTGCTCCTGCCTCCTTTGCTTTGCTTCCATACAAGCTGCAGCTGCCGGAGCCTCTCCCCAGCTCCTGCTTCCCTCACGCTTTGCCTGTGGCTGAGAAGTGATGCAAAAGCCAGATGTCAATGAGTGAGGGGTTGCAGGACTCCTGTGAGCCTGAGAGTGACCAAACACGTCAACGGGACCCGAGTGCTCGTGCAACCGTGCGAGTTCGTGCCGTGGTGCCAGACACCGAGCCGTGTCCAGAGGTGTGTGTGTGTGCTCCCACAGCAGGAAGGCAGGGGTCCGGTTCCCTTCTGAAATGGTTCTGCTGCCTTCCAGCAGGACAAGCACATTCTGTTCATTTTAATGGGACTGTTCTTAAAATGACAAATTCAACCACCATTCTCTCAGCTGAAGCTGAAGTGTGTAACGCTTTGTACTAAACTTTTTTTGGGTCAAATTGTCAGATAGTTGTTTCTGAAGTGCTTAAACCACAGTCCCTCTGTGGATAACACACAGTAGTAAAACTAGAAACTTGAGGAGAATTTAATTTAAGAAGAGGCTCCGGCTGGGTTCCTTTTTTGCACCTGCATGTGCAGTGTGTTGCACCGCTTGTCTTTGGGCTTTGCATTGCTGGTTCTTAGCCCGGCTGCTGCTGCACACACTGGTTGGGTCTGGCTTCCAGCCCGGAGGTGCTGCCTTGTGGCTGGGACATCACTTCCCTCAGCTGATCTGAGCCCTGGCTTGTTCCTGGGGTGATGGAATTGCACGGCTCTCTGGTTCACAAACTGCATGGAACTGGGTGCACCCTGTCTCTAAACAGCTGGAATTGCAGAGGTGGAATGACTGTTGTAATCAGGATAAGTAGAATTTGAAACAATTGAAGTTTAAATCTAAAAGTATGACGATGAAGCTCCAGCAGATAGAATTCACACAGCAGGTTGCCTGTCATGTATTCAACCTTTTATTTTTGTGGCACCCTGAAGTGTGGGATGCTGCCAACAGATACCAGACTGCTTTCCCCAGGTGAATTAATGGGAATTCAGATACAGCTCAACACTCCTTAAACTTTAACATGGCCCCTGGATTATGACCCCAGTGCTTGGAGAGGAGGCTGGTCCAACTGTAGCCCCTCTTTCCCACAGCTTTAGCCCATTGTTCTGGACGTTCCTGAAGCTGTGGCTGGGTGGGCAGGTTGATGAGCTCGTGAGGGGATGTCTGTGCTTGGTAAATGGCCAGGTAGATGGTGAGACATTGCTCCAGGCTGATTCAGACTGGGCTCTCTACTTCCCCACTGCTACTGTGTCTTGTTTTTGCATTTAAACTTCAATGTTGGAGCGAGGTGTGGAGCGGCCGCTCCCCCCGCCCTGACGTGCTGCTGTTTGTGACCCCCAGAACAACGACAACGAGACGGCGCTGCACTGCGCGGCCCAGCACGGCCACACCGAGGTGGTGAAGGTGCTGCTGGAGGAGCTCACCGACCCCACCATGCGCAACAACAAGTTTGAGACCCCCCTGGACCTGGCCGCGCTCTACGGGAGGCTGGAGGTTGTCAAGATGCTCTTGAACGCCCACCCAAACCTTTTAAGCTGCAACACTAAGAAACACACTCCCCTGCACTTGGCAGCCAGGAACGGTCACAAAGCCGTGGTCCACGTCCTCCTGGATGCTGGCATGGACAGCAACTACCAGGTATTGGTGTGTCTGTCTGCGGGGCTGGGCCGATTGCTGGGGTCAGAGGTCGAGGGAGGGACGCTCCAGAGGGAGCGCTCGTGGAAGATGTGGAGAGCTTTGTGTTCTGCTGGGCTGTCTGTGCAGCTCTGGGTTGCTCGGGGGGGCTGCCCAGAGGGACTGGGGTGCTGTGCATGTCTCACGCCTGCTCAGGGGCCGGGCAGAGCCCTGGACACAGAGCAAGAGAAAGAAACGTCCTTTTGCTGAAGCTATTCTGCCCCGCAGTGCTGGGAGCTCTTGATAGTGTTTGAGGCAAACGTGTCTCTTCCTATCAAGCCACTTGTGAATGTGCTGTTTTCACAGCAGTGGCTTGTATGTGGGTCTTGTCTTTCCTTGTCAGGACACGACCTCTTGCCAAGCTGTAGAAGGGCCTTTGTTGGTCTCTCACCTGGGCCCACACATCTCTGACGGGACCATCCGCATTTTCCATGCCCCATCCTCAGCGCTGTAATAATACTGATGGTCCTGTCCTCAGCTGTAGGTAGTGCTGCCCACACTGTGTACAACGCTGTGTATTTATTGCTTCCGTAACCCTCTAAGCCACGCCTCCCTCACCATTCCCTGCTGTCTGGCTTCATGCTATGTTTCCATTTAATTTGCAGACTGAGAAAGGCAGTGCTTTGCACGAAGCTGCTTTGTTTGGCAAGACAGATGTGGTACAAATATTGCTGGCTGCAGGTGAGAGAATGTTCCCCCTTTGAAGCACTAATGTGGCGATCCCTTCACCCAGAGCTTGAGGAAATCCCGTTCTAGTGCAGCAGGTTTTTCCATCCAGCTGTCAGAGCTCTTCGGAGCAGGTTATAAGAGAGGTTGGCTCTCAGCGTTTGGCTTTAGATTTGCCTCTAGAGCGCTTTTTAGCTCCCCCCAGTGATGATCACAAATGTGACTTGATGAAAGACATGAACTAGTTAGACAGTATTCTTGCTTTTGCTCTTTCTACCCCATTGCCACAGGTATTGATGTGAACATAAAGGATAACAGAGGCCTGACCGCTCTGGACATCGTGAGGGAGCTTCCTTCCCAGAAAAGCCAGCACATAGCAGCTCTGATTGAAGGTGGGTGATGCAGCTCTGCCTGCAGGGAGGAGAGGAAAGCTCGGGGTGCTGACTGTGCCAGGACAGGTACAGGATGTGCCTCTCTAGACCTGGAAACTGCCAAAAGCAAAGCAGCTTCAGGCTGTGTTGGAAGGAACGATGCTCGAACTCTGGGGTGAACTTCTCCAGACCAAATGTTTGGAGGAGGACTTGGGGAGGACTTTTGCTGAAGGACTGTGGCATGACTTTTACAGTGCAAATGGGCTTAATTGAGCTTTGTTCAGCTCACTTTAGAAATTAATTGAAACTAAGGATATTCTAAATCTACTTGCAGAATGCAAAGTAATAGCTTTAGAAATGGTTTTGGTGTAACTCCCCTTTATGTGTCTGTGTAGACAAATAGTCATCCACAGATTTCACATCCTGCTTCTCGCCTCGTTTCGAAGATTGGGCGTGGAGTTTGCAGATGAGATTTACAGAAAAGGCCTTGATTACTTGTGGCTTATAAAGGAGCTTGGCCCATTGTGTCTGTCCAAGTTCAGGAATGAAATGTGACATCTTGGCTAAATTCATACTTTGTAATTACACTGTCTGCATTTCCTCTCAGCTGTGGGGAGGATCAGAAGCATTTGGAGCTGGGGTGCGTTATTCATGCTGAGCATTTGGGAGCTTTGCAGGTTCAAAGCACTTTGCAGACTTTTAACTAAGCTTTGCCTGTGAGGCTGGTAGGTTTTAGGTCTATTCTAAAACTGAGGACAAAGATGGGCTTTAAAACTGAAGATCCTGCAGGTAAAGGCTCTCAGTTTGCCCTGGGAGAGAGCTGCTGTTGGACATTACTCACATCAGCTGATTGCTTCTGGCTTTACCTGTGGTTGGGGGGCTGCAGCTGTGATTGGTTTCTCTGTCTTATGCCTGTTCAGCGATGGAGCTTGTGTCTACAACACCAATCTGCTCTGTGATGCTGTGTCCATACAGCAGCTTTGCAGCTTTCTGATTAAAGACTCTAAAAGTTCAAAGGCCCCTTGTGCCTGTGATTAAAGAGGCCGCCTGCTTCTATTTTGGGATCTGAGCTGCAAGGTTTAATAATGTGCTTTGGTTATTTTTTGGAAACTTAATAAGCTGACAGTTGGCCTTCCACCCGCACGGGAGGAGGTGCCATGTGCTGAAGGGGACGGAAAACCAGGCTGACGTGAGCTGACCCTGTGCCTCACCCATTCCAGATTACACCGTTGGGAAGAAAAGTGCCAAAGCTGCAGAGAAGTCCTCTCCAGCCCCGCTCGCTCCCGCCGCCGATCCCACGGGCCGGACAGCTCAGGGTGGGCACCCCCAGCTCTCCTCTCCCTGCGAGTGCTGACGCCGAGGGCGGGAGCCCCGGTGATGAGCCTGTCTCTCTTCCTCCCCCAGGAGATGTGGACAAAGCCGTGACAGAGCTGATCATCAATTTTGACGTGAACCCCGAAGAGGAGAGCCCGTATGAAGCATTGTACAACGCCACCTCCTGCCACTCCCTGGACAGCCTGGCCAGCGGGAGATCCTCCGACCGGGACTCTGGGAACAAGGAAGCTGAACCCAGCGGCCCCAAAGCGGCCGCAGTCAGGCCTGTACGTAGCTGTGTGTGCTCAGCCCTGCTCACCCCAGGGGCACAGGGGACCCACCTCCAGTGTCAGGTTTTGCAGCAGGCTGCCAATGCCTCAGCTTGAGGAAATCTTTAAACCTTTCCCTGACACTGATTAAAGCAGACAGGTACCTCTCCTTCTTCCCTGACATGTTCACAGGGAATAACTGCACGTATTGCCTACAAGCAGCTGCATCTTTGTGTATGACTTGCACAGATCTGAAGAGAGTACTCCAGGCTTTACAAGGCAACACAAGGCTCCTGGAACTGTCCCCAGAGAAGTCTTCCTCACCTTCTGTCAGCTGCATCTGCTGCCCTGTTAGCAATCCACGGGAAGGCTGCTGTGGGGCAGATGGGACATGGGCCCTGCAGTGCTGGGTCAGCTTCAGGGGCTGTGTTCTGATTGGTTTTCCAAAGCCTGCTCCATGGAGGCATTTTTGGACAAGAGGCAGAGCAGCAATGAACACTTTAACTGCTGGGGGCACAGTAGCCATGGTTTCCCTCTCTGCAAAGAGGTGCAGCCTTTGGCCTGTGCTGAGAGCAAATAGAGTAGAAATGGGACAAAAGCTTTAGCAGATGGACATTTCAGCCAGGTCTCACTCAGGTGAGCAGTACCAGATGCACTGTCCTGCTACTGACCAAATCTTGTCATTGTCTTGTACTAACAGTGTCTGGTGTGAAATAAGTTCAACTCTCTTATAGATAAAGGAGAGGCTGAACTGCAGTGAGGAGGGAGCAGGAAAAGGGATGTGCTTCAGGAGCTCGCTGGAGTTTCTCCCCAAACTTGCTGTTGGAGCAGTGCAGCTCTGCTGCTTCCCTTTGCCATTAGATGGAGCTGTGGCTGAGCAGGAGTTGGCCTGGGGATATGCTCTGCATCTGACTGGGCAGCAGCTCCAGCTGCCCACTGGCAATCCCTGGATATTGGAGGACTTTGGTGCAGCACTGTCTCTTCATCTCTAGTTTTCCATTATAAGAGCTGCCTCTGGCATCACTTATTCCTGTTACTGTTTCACTAAGACACAAGGCATGAGTCTTCCTTTTCTCCCCATCAGCTCATTCCTGACTCCTTTGTGCAGTGCTGTGGAGAGTAGTCTGAGTGTGAAGTGAGACCTGTGCGAACAGGAAGAGCTCTGCCCACATCAGTGTCTGCAGGAGAGGTGGAGGAGAGGCAGCAGCCATTGCCCAGCTCTGTGCTGTCAGGGCTGAACTACTCCTCCATCCAGATTAGTGTGGGGAGGTCCTTGCTGCGTCCACAGCAGTGGGGACTTAGGGCTGGTGGGAGCAGAAGGGCCGAGCTGTACCAGCACAGCTGACAGTGCTTGTCTTACCCACAGAGAGAACGTCCCCCACCGCCTGCCAAGCCCCCGCCCGACGAAGAGGAGGAGCAGCATCTGGAGAAGAAGATAGGTCACAGTGCTCCCTCTGAGGTATGTGGGGCTTGATCTGGGGTGTTTTATGGGAGAGTGGTTTAAAGACCAGTTTTAATAATTTGGGAGGAGCCAAGGATGCTGTTACCTCCTGTGCTAGTCGGGCTGTGAATGTGAAACATTCCCTCACTCAGCATTGCTGCTGTCCTTGCCATGGGAACTTCCTTTGTCCGGTTCTTCCAGGGCACCTCAGTGTTGACCTTCAGCCTTACTTTCCTATTCTTGGCTGAGAATTCCCTTAGGAAGAGGCTTTTCTGAATCACATTGTGATGTGGACCATTGCCACTTGTACAGATCCCACCACGTGCATCTTCACTTGGACCGAAATGCAGACACACCAAGAGTTCCTGCTTCCTCTGAGCTCCCAGCTGTGGAGGAGCTGCGTGGGCTTGTGGGTCCCACTGACATGAGCAGGGAGCAGGGGCTTGAATTCAGCTGAGGATCTGGCTGAGCACATCTGAAAGCTGCCTTCTGCATCTGAGCTGCTTTCTGATGGAACTAAAGCTCTCACATTCCGTATTGTTGCTCCTGGGCTTCTTGTTGCTCATCTTTATTCACCTGTCTGTGAACCTCAGATACGAGGGCTCTCCAGGAAACACGGCTGTGGGAAACCACAAATGTGTCTTGGCAACTTCTGCTGACACCCAGGAAAACCTTCAAAGCAAACCCAAATCTGTGGATTTTCGCACTTTCCCAAGGGCAGTGGGTTGTGTGTGAAACCCATGGAGTGTGTGCCACCTCTGCTGTCGGAGCAGGCTCTGGTTCAACACATGCCTTGTGTTGAACATGAATGTGCTGATCTGCTGGAGTTCTGCAAAGCATAAATGGGATCTGTTGTCTGGAGTGTGTCAAATCCACACGAGACACGAGTGAACGTGGTCTGCTGTAATACAACTGACTTCAGAGAGAGTAGAGCTCCGAGCTGTGCATAAACAGGGGGCTGTGACATTGTGGACTGATCCCTGCACTGCTGTGCAAATGCAGGGTGTAATAACTGGTCCTGTGCCTGGCTCTGGCAGAGGAGAGCTGGGCAGCAGGTCATGGCATAATTGGGAAGCAGAACTTGTTTATGACAAGAAACACGAGGGAGGCAAACGTGCCCTGACCGCTCCTGCTAGAGGTATCTTGCCATGTTTAATTATCAAACACCTGCTGTGTTGTCCTGCCATTAATGGCTTTGGAAGCATGATCCATTAAAGGGAATCTTGCTGGCAAATGGCAGTGACTCACTGGGGAGATCTTGATTTGTGACCAACTTCGGTGATAGAACTTACGGGCAGTGTGTGGCTGCCTGGAAACGACCTTCTGGATGTACTGATGAGGTAGTTTGGGGCTGATCCTTTTCCTTTGATTGCTTCTCCTGGCCTGCTCTGCTTTTCTCTGCTTTCTTGCCTATCTTTTATCACCTCAGTGCATGTTCTCTCTGAGTCAGGCAGGCATGAACAGGAATATGCTTTGGAGTGCTGTAAACATCTCGCTGCAGCATCCCAATGTGCCATCCTCCAGCCCTGCTCTCCTGTTGGAGCCAGGACAGTTACTCATTGAATATTCTGGAGTTGGGCCAAACTCTAGTTTCCAAAGTAGTCTTTTTATTCCTTGCCAAGCTGGAACTATCAGTTAAAACAGATGAGTGTAAACAAACTTTTCACTTTCATCATGGAAAAATGTTGGTACAAACAGGCAAAGGAGCTGATTGTGTGGAGGTGCTTGAGTGGTGCCTTTCACTATCTCCAGAAACCTTCTGGGTTTGCAGTTGAGTAAGAGCCTACATTGTCAAATTAAACTTGGGTTCCAGCTGTTTACTGCTCGTCTCCGGAAGGGAAGTGCAGATCAAGGACAAGGCGCCACGGTGGTTCCAGCAGTTTGGTCTGCAGCTCTGGGAGGGAGGAGAGAGGAAGAGATGAGTTACCCTTTAGAAAGTCTTTCAAAGTCCTCTGCTGTGGATTAAGTACATCTTAAAGAGTATCCTCATTATTCACCCACAGCATCTTATTTTTGGGCTTGGCTAGAAGTGAACATTAGTATGTGCAAACAACATGTCTGAGGAACTGGAAGCTGAACTGGAAGAAAGCTTTATTTGGTTTTGTTGCTCCTGGTCACAGAGCCCACAGAACAAGCACAGTTCTCCAGCAATGGTCTTCATTTTGAGTGAATTTGAGCTTGAAACTCTATTTAAGGCTTGGAAGGATGAGAGGTGGAGAAAATCAAGTGTAACCAGGCCCATGGATACCAGCACAAAAGTTCACAAAGCAGAAGTTGGGAACTATGTGCTGCTGGGGAGCTCCTGCCTTCAGTGCATTTAAAGAGGACAGCACAGGAATCATCATCCACTGGAGTGTCAGGAGAGCACCAGAGCCTGGCAGAAGGTCCAGGCTGCTGCTGTGCTGACAGGCTGCTGCTGGGAAGGATTTTTCCAAGATCACGGGTGAGAACCTGTTACCTGCTGTTCTGGTCTGATGGTTTTGTGCCACCATCTGGTCAGAATTCTTTCCCTAATTTGCTCATTACAAGCTCCTTCACCTGGAAGGGAGCAGGTCTGCCTGGCAGCTCCTGCTTGGAGCAGGTACAATAAATACTTCCCGTGCCGGACAGAGCTCGTTTCCTCCTATTGAGAAAGTTGCTTTAAAAACCAGCTGGGCTCGTGCAGAACAGCACATGGATGTTGGAATCCTGTCTGTGCTGCTGACTCCTGGGTGTCTCTCCAAGACTCCCTAAGCTTCCAGAGCTCCTGGCTGGGTTGAGGTCAGGTAGGTACCGATTTACCCTTGGAGCAGCTCTGGTGCTTTCACTTTGGGGCAGAGGAGGAGGTGGTGTGTGGTCTGCTGGTGAGGCAGTGGGAGGTCCAGGAGTCTGAGCAGTAGGAGCCCTCTCTGGGGGCGTGTTTTGTTCAGACCTGTTCTTCCCTGTCCTGGCAGCAGGTAGAGATCATTTGCTTTCTGGCTTTGGGTTGGCTGTAGTCACACATGGGATCACAAAATGGTTTGGTTTGGAAGGGACCTTAAAGACCATACAGTTCCAACCCCTTGCCATGGGCAGGGACACCTTCCACTAGACCAGGTTGCTCTAAGCCTCATCCAACCTGGCCTTGAACACCTCCAGGGATGGGGCAGCCACAACTTCCTATCACCCCATGCCCCTCCCCAGCTCTCTTGGAGCCCCTTTAGACCCTGTTGCCAGGGCTCATTACCAGGTCGTGTTGAGCTCCTGGGGCAGGGTTGCATCAGTCTGCCAGGATCTGGCCAGGAGATGGTGCTGAAAGGCAGCCGACTGTGCTGGCAGGGTGCCCTGAAGGCCAGTTTAGCCCCATCAGCACTGGGATGGCACCCAGGGACATCCAGGGCCTGTCATCCTTGGCATTGGTGTAGGCCAACATGTGAGTCTGCAGCAAGACTTGTCTGGATCCTGTGCCAAAACCTCGTCCCTGCACATGGATGGTAGCTTTGCAGAGCAGCTCAGGGAGGGTCTGCCAGGGTTCCAAACCAGCTCTAACTAGAGGCTTTGGGGGATTTAAATAAGTACAGTCACTGCTGCACATCCTGGAGTTAAACTGAATTCATACAGTGCTGCCTGATGCCATCCATCCTGAGGTCAGAAATGCTGGATCTGAGAAGGTAGCAGGTATTTGGGCTTTTGTTCTTTTCAGCCCTGTCCTAATAGGGCCAGCAGAATAGTGAATGACAATGCAAATTCCAATAGCAACAGCCAGTCTGAGTTGGGATGAACAGGAATAACGGTCTCAGCTCTTTTCCCCCTCCAGGCTGTCTGCAGCTCTTGCACAGTGAGTCAGTTGGTCAGTGCTGGAAAGTTATCAGCATCCCGAGATACTAAAAATTAAAGGGGGTTTGGGTGGGTGTTCGTTGAGGGGGTTAAAAAAAAAAAAGGGGAGGAGTATTAGATTTTGGCTCACACTCTGCAGCAAAGGTGTTCCCTCTGCTAATTCCTTGCTTAACCCATGGCATAGAGGCCGTGGGCTTTATGCCAGGACAAAGCATTGCTTTGCAGAGCTCCACATTGTGCTGTTCTTCATTAGGCCTCTGCTGCCTGGGGGAAGAGCAGGGGAAGTGGAGCTGAGGAAGAGGAACACCCGTACGAGCTGTTGCTTACAGCAGAAACTAAGAAACCGGTTGCAGTGGACAGGAAAACAAAAGGTGAGTGACCATCCAAAGAACAGAGCACTTCAAGCATTTCTGTGCACTTCAGGAAAATACAGAGGGCAGAGGGCAACTGGAACAATGAAAGTCTCTGCTGGGTGGGGGCTGGAGGGCGATTGTTGTGTTTCCTGGTAATCCTCCCTCTGGTAGAGGAGAGCTCCGAGCGTTCCTGTACAGAGTGTACGAGGAGGAAGGGCAGCTGTGCTGTGGGATAGCTGAGAGATTCTGAGGACCTGCTCTGTGAACTCAGAAATACCCAAATCTTGTGCTCAGCTAAGCAAATGCAGAGGGTGGGAGGCTGGAGGCTGTTCCAGGGGAGATGAGCAACGTGAGCGTTCCAGTGAGCCGTGTTCTGCATCCAGCTGGCGCTGCAGGTTTCTGCTATCCTGCTGTAAAATCAACATCCTGCTCTGTGTTAAAGCTAATTTGAGATGGAAACTAAGAGAGGAGGAAAACAAAAGTGTGTAGAGCAAGAACTAGAACTGACACAGATCCGTGGGGTAGCCAGGTATATATTGAACCAGTCTCTCCTCCCCCAGAGGGACTTCTGTGCTTTACGAAGGATCTGGGAACACCTTGTCTCTTGTGTTTAGCTGTTGTTGGCTTTTTGGCTTTCTTGCAACAACAACAAAAAAGATTTGTTTAGAGAGAAAAGATTTCCAGCTTTATTCAAAAGTCTTGAGCAGGAATTTGGAAGGATTTAATTTGGACTCTCACACTGGAACCCTTCTCATTCTGAGGATGGACAAGGGATGCCTCACTGAGTGCCCTGTCAGACCTGCAGATGTTTTCCCTCCTTGCACCACGTTAACTCTTGTTGCTCAAGTCCTGCTGCTCTCCTTACTGGCCCAGGGTGACACAAGAGGTCATTGTGTTCCCACCAGCACTTGCCAAAGTCCCCTCGCTGCCAGAGGCAAAGTCTGGGAGCTTTTCAGGTTGATGCTTTGCAGTCTGGGCCAGGAACAGACCGTGGGTGACAGCCACTGAGCCAGAGCTTTCAGGCTCTCGTCAGCGGGCAGCTATTGCTGGTTATTCAAGCACGAGCTGTTCCAACTGCTCCACTCCTTTCTCTGGCTGCTGTGTCCAGTCTTGATTAGTGTGAGAGGAGGTGTGTCCTAATTATGTGTCAGATTAAAGTGAAACCTCAGAGTAATGCAGCTGTGTGTTCTTGATGCAAAACTCTTAGCCTGAACACCTGAAGACATCATGAGAGGTTGCAGGAAGATCTGTAGCCTTGTACAGATCCAGAGCAGAGTCCTGTCTTTTAATCTACATCTGGGAAGATAAAAGCTGTGACTTCAGGGTTTGCACTCCATGGAAAGTGTTGCTGTGTTTGTAACAAGCGTAAAGCCCTTCCCAGTGTTGTAGTGGGAGAAATCCAAGGATGCAGTTGAGTTTTCTCATCTTCCAGGGCTTGCCTGCTCTTTAAATGCAGTCAGTGGCTGATGGAGGGGAGAAGATGCATTTAGGGAGTAGCAGAGTCATTTTGGCAAAAAGTTAAACAAGGGCTGAGAGAGGAGGGACTGAAGCCTTCATTGGGGTGTTGGAGAATTTTTCCACCTCTGGGTCAGAAGGGTCCTGGAGCATCAAAGGCAGCAGCTCCATCCCAAGACATGGAACAGGCTAAAGATGCTTTGAACTGCTTCTTGGCCCTCGATCTGAGGGTCTGGGCTTCTGGATGAGTTCTGGAGCAGTCTTTGGTCAGGAGATGAGGAGTTGGGTTCCTGTGGCTGTTGGAAGGGCGTTTCAGGGCAGCGGAAATGCTGAATTTCAGGCACGCGGGTTTAATGGTGCCTTTCATCTGTGATAGCTGCCTTTGTTCCTCTGGCTGCCAGTTGTCCTGTGTCCAGCGAGCAGATGAATGTGGCATTATCCACTGGCTTTGGTGGCCTTTGTGTGTGTTAGAGCAGCTTGCTGTCACATGCTGGAGCGCTGGGAGAAGTTGGTCTCATGTTTTGGGCAGAGTATCAGAAGTGGTTTAAGCCAAATACTCTCCCTTCCCCTTTGGTGTGCGGTCACACGTGTGAAGTCAGGGCACTCAGACCTTGTAACAGGGCGTGAAAGTAAGTCAAGAGTGGGGGACTGTAAGAAGAGTGACCAGGAGGAGACCTCTTAACTCCTGCTGCCTCGAAAGAGATGTGATGGAAGGTGAATGTGGAAAAGATCTTTGAGTTCTCATGTGTCTGGCTTCTCAGAGATCACCCCCAGGTGCTGTCAGCAGTGACCAGCTGCAGGTAGGACTGACTTGGTGCCTTCTGATAGTTATTACAGACTGATGCTTGTTGAGATTGTTCTGTGCTGCTTCCATAGGACAGTGTCTCATTACTTTTTCTGAAGAGGGGAGGGAGTGCACAAGAGCACAAGTTCAGGTGGATAAACTCTGTCTGGAGTGACTGAGCTTGGTGAGACTAACACAGGAGTGTGCCATCCTCAGCTGGGTTCCACGGGCACTACTGGCTGTGGAATGAGCCCGTGGTTCACTTCTACTGCAGGTGAGGGTTATTTTTGCCAGCTTCCTCCTCGGGCCTTCTGTGCCATGGGAAAGAGATTTGCCTGCTCCTCACTTGACAAATTCTGGCCTGATGTAGCATGGAAAGCCTTTTCCATGTGCAAGTCAGAGGCTGCTGTACGCCCTTTCTAGTTTTAAGGTTGGGGATCTTGAGCAAACAGCAGCTGCAGTAACAGCTTCATTCTCCTAATCCAGGGGCATGAGACAAATCCTGCTGTTGATATATATAGGGAAAGAAATCCAGTCGAGGCAGGGTGGTTGCAGCTTAGTGTGGAGTGTTTAGGGAAGTGCTTCGTATCTGGAGTCCTCAGGCTGCTGGCAGGGAAGCTCTTAATTAAATCCTCCCAGGGAAGCAGACAGTCTGTACCCAGGAATAGGCTCGTGATCCCAGGAAGGGTTGGAAGCAGCCTCTCCTGTGGGTGAGACCTGCAGCAGGCTGTGGCCAAAGAAGTCAGGATCAGTCAGATGATCTGTGCTGGGATGTAAAATCAGCAAAGAGAGTTGGGCAGAAGTCCCTGTAGTAGTTAAAAGGTGTAACTGGAGGAGGATGACCCTTCCAGATCCCTTAAAAGGTGAGGCCTGGAGAGCCCTCAGTGTTCCTGCTGTGTGCATCTCAGTGATAAAAAGGAGTGAGATGACTCTTTTCTTTCTACATTAGTTCTTATGTCTGCAGCTTTCAGGACAGACTCTGAAATGTGTCCTGCAAGATGTTCCTCACATCTTCTGAGCAAGTGCTGTTGCCCTCACTCCATCCCTTCGTTCCCTGGCAGCTGCCCTGTGTTTTGGAGTCCCTCCTCAGCTTGCAGATGAGTGGGTGGCTGTGATTGCTGTCCAACAGGAGCCCTTTGTGAGGCACTGGAGCTGGATTTGGAGCATTTTGTTCTGGCTGGACTCAAGTGTTCCAGCACGTGGCACAAACTTTTGCCAGCCCCCTCTCTGCCTTCTGCTGAAATGTCAGTAAAGGTTAAGCTGGGGCATGGAAGAAATAGTTTCTAAGGAAGGGAAGAGGTTTGGAAAAAAGACTGCAAAAGCTTTCTCCTCCCCACAGGTTTAGGTGAGTGTCCCTTCTCTGCTGTCCTGCTCGCCAGTCGGTGGCTTTGCATTAGTACCACTCTGGCCAATGACTGAAGCACATCTGATCTCCTCTGAGGTTTCTCCTCTTGAGGTTTCTCTCCAGCATTGCAGCATCAGAGCTTTATGCAAAGTAACTGAGTCCAGTCTGGCCTTGTTATCTGGGGTGCTGCTGCTGACCCCCCCTCCAACCAGTGCCAGGACCTGCCTCTCCCTTGGCGGCTCCAGTCACAGAACTGGTGGTTTAATGTGCCCCTGTGAGAGAGTCAACAACTACTTCACTGTCCTGGAATCTCTAACTCACAGGATCCAGGATGAGATAATCCCTCACATCACTAGATCCCAGGGAGCAGTGAGGGCTGTGGTGCTGCCCTGGCCGGGCTCTGGCTGCTCCAGCCCTCCCGTGCCTGTGCGAGGGACATCGGGCACAGGGTGCCTGGGACCCCCACACGAAGGCAAAGGACTAATTCAGCCCTTTCCTGCCCATTTCTGGTGTGAGGGCAGACCACAAAACCCGATGGGTGTTGGTGTTTGAAAATCCCCTGCTCAGGCTTGGTGCTGGAAAGGTGCTGGGGGAAGGAGTTGGGCTCGCTGCTGCTGCTGCTGACAGGCTGCTTTTATTTAAAGTAGAATTCATTATTTTGCTCACAGAAAGGAGAGTTCCTTTGCCTTGGCTTCCCGGAGCTGCTGTCTGCAAGGCAAACAATTTCCTCTTCACATCCAAACATCCTCCTTGTGTTTCAGAGCCTCATTATTGGGGTGCTTTGCTTATTGTTCCTTTCCAGCATGGATTTTTGGTCCTCAGACTGAAGAGGTTCTTCAGCACTAAATGGAAGTGGTTAAAATTCGCAAGCAATGCTGGGAGGGCAAAGAAATCCTGGGAAACCAAAGTTAGACTTGTTGACTTGACAAAGTTTTGCTTTTGCAGTTGAAACACTTGCTCAGCTGTGACAGGTGAGTACACGTGTGTGTGCACACGGTTGGCACTGGGTATCAGTCAATTATTCATGGTTTATGCAGGACCCTGGTACCTGATATTAAGGCTGCTGGGGCAGGAGTAGCATGGAACCAGTGTCACATTTCTGGGGCAGCTGGTGCTCTGCCAGCTCGGACCATTCTGTGCTCGGTGGTTCATTGCAAGAGAGACCTTTTGCTCAAGTTTTTTTTATTGCATAAACTGTTTATTTCTCTCCCCTGAGCAGGGAGGAGAGGTTAAACTCAGAAACCACTAGGGAGGAAGGCAGTGGGTTTTTTTGGGAGTGGATTTTGGAACTCGCAGGTCAATTACAGTCCAGGCACTTTCCCACCCTGCAGCCCGTGCCAAGAGCGCAGCTCCAAATAACGCTTTGGCCTTTATGGAGACGGATCAGATGTTCCAGGAGCCTCCGTCCCTGCTGCTCCCACCTCACTTGCTCTCTCTACAGGATATAGTTAGCACTTCTCTTGGCCTTATATAGCAAGGCCTGATAGTTAGTGTTAACAGGAATAAAACAACACGGAGAGCTGCCAGATTGCGTAAATCGGGCCAGTGTTTGGAATTTCATAAATGCCATGACTTTGGGTACAGGCTGAGCACGCGGAACAATACGGAACTGTTCTCTCTTTATCTCTCCCTCCCTCGCTGAGGGAGGGCAGGGAAAGAGCTGGAATTTTGCTGCTTCTTCCATGTTTTTAATTTCCCCCTCCTCTCCGTTTCCATTCCCTCGAAGACCACAGGAGGAGCAGCGGTGGCCGCAGCCAGGACCCTGCTGACAGCCAGGACATCCAGGTGCCAGAGCAGTTTTCAGGGTTGCTTCACGGTTCTTCTCCGATCTGTGAGATAAGTGAGGACCCTTTCAGGCTCGTTTCCTCTGCAGAGAAGGGGGGCACGGAAGCTACAAGCCAGCCTGCTGCTATGCAGGTGGAGGATGCTGACTTACCTGGCTCAGGATCGGTGCGGAGCAGCTCTCCCGACCGGGACCAGGCGGTGGTTTACGCCACGGTGCAGCACACGCACGTCAGCCGGGCGGATCCCGCGGCCGTAGTCACGCCCCACGTGCCGCAGCACCCCGGCGGTGCTGAGGAAGAGGGGGACAGAGCTGTGGGCAGGGCCCACCCGGGCAGCAAGCCCAAAGCCGAGCTCAAACTCAGCCGCAGCTTGTCGAAGTCGGACTCTGACCTGCTGACCTGCTCCCCGACAGAGGACGATGCCATGGGGAGCCGCAGCGAATCGCTCTCCAACTGCAGCACTGGGAAGAAACGGCTGGAGAAGTCCCCGTCCTTTGCTTCGGAGTGGGATGAGGTAAGGCTGAGCTTGCTTAAGAGCCTCTGTGCCTCCTCTCTGCCACACTGCCCTGGGGGGGTCCCGGGTGGGTTCTGTTGCTTTCACTGACTCTCACATGGCATCAATAGACACATGCTCAGTTGGGAGTCTGTAAGGTGTTAAGTGCCAAAAGATAGAGTTCATTGGAGTGGGGGAGAAACAGAATTGTAAGAACTGAGGGGCTTTTCAAACTGTCAAAAGTTTTTTGCTCAAATGCAGGGCTTGATTTCTTTGAAGCAAGACGTTCCCAAAATGAGGGAGACTTTGTAACAGTGCCCCTTACCAACCTTTGTCCTGACCTCCTCCTTCCAGTTCTTCCCTGTGGACTCTCCCAGCATCTGGAGATGTTGTGTTGCTGGGTCTCTGCTGCTGGGGGGTGAGAAGTGTCTGGGGTTCATGGAGATGAAAGGAAGAGAGTACTTAGGTTGGTTTGTGTATTGAGTAGCTCCAGCTTTCCTCCTCACAGGCTCATTTCAGCGGCTGGTTAGCAGTCACTTTATTATCATATCGGACGCCCGCGGATAGTTAAATATTTCATGCTCCAAAAGTTGGCCCTGGAGAGCCACTGGGGTGAGATTAAGTGTCCTTCTGAAATTCAGCACCGCAGCATTACTGATACATTCTTTGGGGATGATTCTGTGCTGGGAGAGCAGTGGCTGCAGAAGTGATAAGCTGGGATGAACTACTCTTTGTACTCTGAAAGGAACTAAACCCCCCCGGCGTGGTGCTGGGTGTGTGGAACCGCGTGTGCTGGGCGTGGAAACCTGTGGGAGGGTTGTGCCCCTGCTCCCCTCTCTGCACGGGCTGTTGCTCAGCTGCCTCTCCAACCCTGACTTGGAGAGAAGATCACCTTCTGTGGGAGGTGATCTCTGAATACCCCCCTGTATTCGGAGATGCCAAAAGCAATGTGGGAATTTGTCCTCAGTATGAGCCCATCCCTCAGTCCGTTCTCTCCCTCCCCCTCACTCCCTGCTGGGTCTCAGGGTTGCCAAAAAGATGTTTTCCCCTGCAGCTGCTTGGGCTGGAGAGGCTTCACTGTTAATTGCCCGGGTCAGTTGTACCACAGTGTAGGGAAAGAGTGCAGCAGAAGGTTTTGGAAGGACTGGATAATTCCCTGTGCTTTTATCTGAGCTGTTTGCAGCAGACACTGAAAGGGCAGAAGCCTCTGACTCGGCAGTGCTGCACAACTGCAGTGGTAGCAGAGGTCAAGTGCTGGGCTGCCTGCCCCTGCCTCTGCTTCCTCTGCTCAGATGAACCCTCGGAGCTGCTTCCTCCTGCTTGTAAACAACCCCCTCATTTCCGAGGCAGCCAGACAAAATCTGCTTTTGCTTCCCCTTATGTTTAGGTGAGGAAATCAGAGAAAGAATGTGAAAAATTCACATCTGTCTGCAATGGGGCAGGTCTCACTTAGGAAAAAAAAAGTACTATTAAAACCTGATGGTTTTGTCTTCCTGATTTCTGACATAATAGAAACATTTTGTGGAATTGTTGTAGTCTGGCAGCAGCATCCTATGGCCTGGTTTGCCAGAGGGATTCTCAGAGCAGCACCTGTGGGAATGGCTGGGGGTTTGCAGGATTTGTATGTGTAGAAAGGGGTTGGTCTAGCTGGTCATAATGGCAACAGTGAGATTTAAACATAAATGCAGTGTTGTCATTGGGAGTTGAATTAGTTTCCTGGATGGGATAATGCAGCTGGTCAGAATTGGATGCAGCTTGCAACCTCTGAATTTACCAGGCCAATGTAAACCCTTTTGAGCCACCCTTTTTAGGGATGGTTTGGCTTTTCCTCTACGTTTAGGGGAAACAATGGCATATTTATATTTATATTATTCTCTTAATCTTAATAGTCTTTATGCAGGCAACTAAGGAGGGAAGTGATCTCTGTGCAGTTCCCAGCTGTAGCCAGCAAGCCAAGGGCTCTGCCTGCCGGCCTGGCCAGCAGTAGGTGTGCAGGGAGGGATCTGTGGTGTCCCTGGCAGATGGCACTGCCCTGGGCCGTGGTGCCTGTGCTCAGCCACTCTGATGGGGACAGCAGAAAATCTGCTGCTTGGAGGCGAAGGGTCACACCCCTGCCCTGGCTGAGCACTGCCAATGCCCTTTGTTGGAAGTGGAAGGTGGTGCTGGCTTTGCCAAAAGGGTGGGATGGGGAAGGAGTGATTCACTTGGCAAAGCTCATTCCTGTTCCCAGTTGCAGCTCCCTTACTCCAAGGACTGGCCTGGAGTGTTGCTCTGTGCTGCCCAGGAGCCAGTTCAGCCGTGTCCTGTCACCTCCTGTCCCCTCCTGTCCCTGCTCCTTCCTGGGAGTCCCTGTGGTGGGAGCTCTGTGCGAGCCAGGCACTGAAATTCTCTCATCACACAGCCATACCTTTCCCAGGAGAAGGTGGGGACCGAAAATGCTCGGTCCCTGCTGGAGTGGGAAGCAGAGTTGGGGGCAAGGAGGCATGTGAGGGGTAGAGCTCACAGTCAGCATAAATACATGAATCCTTCCAAACTGGCTGAGGGCTGAGGTGATAGATTTGGGTTTTGTCATTGGCTCATGAATATTGAGCGGGTGGGGATGATCTCCTCAGCTCACAATAACCTGTGTTTGCACCCCTGGGGTGGGGGGCTGCTGGCACCCAGCTCCACTCCAGCCCCACTTCCAGAGTGGATTAACCTGCATCTGCTCTGCCTTCCTCCTCTGCAGAGCAGCTCCAGCCCTGCACATCTGCCTGGCTCATGCCCCAGGCTCCCAGCAGAGATCTGCAGTCGAGGCCTGGGGCTGCTCTTCTGCCTTGTAGGTGTTGGTAAGAAAAACGATCTGTTAAGAGATCAGGGCAAGGAAAGAGGCAGGCTGCTGGGAATTAGCCTCAGACCTGGCTCCCTACATCCCTTAATCCTCCACTTCCAGCTGCCTATCAAGTAAGTGGCTCCGATGCTGAATTTTTAATGATCGTGGCACTCAGAGGTTCCAGCATCAACCTCACAAAATGAAGTGGTTCTGTGTTCTGACTTCAGCTCTTCTAGGAAGAGATTAAACCTCCTTCAAAAGTAATTTAGGGAACTGAATAAAACAGGCATGTTACTTTAGCTTTTTTTAGAAAACAGGAGGTGCACAGTCCACCACTTTGATGCATTTTTTTCCCCCAAGTGAATTAGTTGAATAACTAATGAATATTCTGTAGCTATTTATGGCACTGGACATTCATCTCTCATGACTAACTGCAGTGGTGCTCTATGTCTCCTGTGAAAAGAATGCTTTCCATCTGCAGTAACCATGGATGTGGTGTTTCGCTGGTTCCTGACTTGTTTTGGGGGTCTTAATGTCCCCTGAGGGTGGATGCCAGGAGCAGATGGCACTGCTGTGGGTGCCTTTAAACCTTGTCAGGACTGTTGGGTGTGCAGTACTCAGCGGAATCAGTGCCTTAATTACAGGCTTACAGTGGAGGATTAACAACATTTGCATCAAAAGGTGAAACTTTCAGGAAAGCTCTTGATGCAAAACCTGCCACTGCCTTAAAACACCCAGGAGTTGAAATTCCAAGCTGCCAGCCAGCACTGTTGAAAGAAAATGCAAATATCTCCCTTGTTCCTCAGGCAGAGCTGCTGGTTCTGTGCCTGATGAAGTTGCATCATGAGAGCTCAGGGGTTTGTGTTCTGAGCTCCTGCCACTCACCTGCCCGGAGGGGCTCCTGTCACACCCCTCAGCACCCCTGGCTCGCCCTGCACGCTCCGAGGACATCCCTGCCGTGGGGGCACGAGGCTCAGTCCTCACTTCCCAGCAGCCTCTCCTCCCAAAATGTTTCATTTATTCTCTTGGTTCAGTGTTAAAGTCTCGGCACTTGGTTTGCCCCGGGTGTGGCTGGTGGGGCGGGGCAGGGCCCGTTTCGGAGCACGGTGGCTTCATCTGTCCCTGGTGTCCCCTGCCCCGAGCTGGCCCTCGTCCTCTGCTCTCCTTCCAGTTTTCCCTTTGCCTGAAGGGGTTTATAATTCATTTTTGTCTAGGGAGAAGCAGTAACAGGGTCAGTATTTTTGGTCTGATTTCTGCTAAAAAGGCGAGGTCATCAGGATCTTAATCGCCTTAATTATTGGGCTGATTATTCTATTATCTCTGGATCCCAATGTTTCCTCTTGTTTTTCCTGTGCTAAGGTCGGGAATTCTTACATCATCCCTCGTGTCCAATCTCTTCTCTTTGCCCCCAGTGGTGAGATTTCCTGCATCCTGATGAACTTTTTGAAGTGAAAGCTTTTGTGTTGCCACCGTTTTTATATCTGCTGCAGAGGGGTAGCCTGTGGAAGGAACTAAGCCAATCCAAGCCAATATAAGACAAATTAATGGTTTTACAGGTTGGTGTGCTGGTCTGAAAGGCAAATGCATAAACCAGGCTTTTCTCCTGTGTTTAGCAGCAAGGGTAAGACACAATAGGGATGATATTTGCCAGCTCTGAGAGTTGTCTCTGTCCATCAGAAGCAAATTGGTGACTCTCCCTGGGGCAGGTCTGACAGGGCAGTGAGACATGGCAGGTTATTGCTACCTGGTGGGGGGAGCCTCCCATCCACCCTCAGAAGGGTTGTGAAAGTGGCCTCAGACAGAGGCAAATGCTTCCTGACATCCTCTTCCTCGTGGGTCACCCCCTCAGGCTGCACGTGGAGCTCCGTCAGCAGGAATAGTTGAGCAGCTCCATCCACCTCTGGGGGTGCTTCTGGTACCTCCTCAAGTGAATGAACTTGGTATTTGTGAATCAGGAGCTTTTGATTCTTCTGTGTGAGCGATCGAGCTCTGGCGGATGTTTTGGTTATGTAACAACCTCGTGATTGTTGGCGTTTCGGGGACGGTTTTGTTTTTTGAGAACAGAAATGTCCGGCTGCAGTGCCCTTACTAAATCCAGTCCTTCATTATGTTCTCTTCCGCTTTACATTGCATCTTCCAGCACTTCAGAAGCTTTTATTTTCAAAGTCCTCACAGCTCTCTCATCAGCCTGAACTGACTTCCCTGTGCT